CACATCGCTGACCTGAGTTCGATCCCTGAACACCTCTGAGGGAGAGAGGGGAAGAAAGAAATTGGCACCGGGTGCTCAGAGTACTAGAGAACCAGCTGGGCACACGGAGGCTCTGGGCTCCTCGGTCCCCCGGCATTGCTGGAAGTGAGCACCGAGCCAGATGTAGCCCCTGAGCACTGCTGGGTGTCACCCAAAAACCAAACAACAACAAGAGAGGTTGGCGGGGCCAGAGAGATGACACGTTGCGCAGGGTGTTTTCCTCGCAGGTGACCCACCAGGGTTCAGTCCCCCCAGCACTGCAGAGGTTTCCCTGAGCACAGAGCCAGGAATAAGCCTGAGCACCTCCAGGCATGGCCCCAAAACAAGAGAGAAGCTGGTGCAGTTGGAGGGCGAAGTACCCGTTTGGGAGGCCAGAAAGGTCGCCCAGTGGGAGGCACTTGCCTTGCACGCGGCCACAGGGATTTGGTCCTCTGCGCTGCATGAGTGATCGCTGAGCACAGAGCCGGAAGCCAGCCCTGAGACCACCAAGTGTTGCCCCAGCTCTTTGGCCATGTGGCGCTGGGAATGGTGTCTGGGAACTTCTAGTTTTCACTCTCTTGTTTTAACTTTATAAATAGGGTTTTTTTGTTTTTTTTTGTTTTTCTTTTTGCATCACATCCAGCAGTGCTCAGGGGTTACTCCTGGCTTTGCACTCAGGAATGACTCCTGGCAGTGCTTGGGGGACCATGTGGGATACCAGGGATCGAACCCGGGTCGGCTGCGTGCAAGGGAAACACCCTACCCACTGTGCTATCGCTCCGGACCCTATAAATAGGTTTGATGGAAGGATGTCTTCTTTCTAGCTTACCGAGGTGTATCACCAAGCCCCAGGGTACTATCTCTGGCCTGCTATAAAGATTTTAAGTGGGGGAATGGAGCACTGTCCAGAATTCCCCTCTGGATTATGACTTGTGCCCTTCTCCCTCGCTGGGTAGCATGCTCTAATTCCATGAGGCTTTTGGGGTTGCATAGAATGGCTTACAGTATTAGCTGTAGCTCCCAGATAGCCTGTCCCCACCAGCCCCAGGGAGTCCCCCTAAACTCTTCTGGTGACACAGCATGATCTGAGCCAGAATGTTCTTTTACTGTATACATTCTAAACAAACCTGATTTGGCTTTTTTTGTTTGTTTGTTTTTTGTTTTTGTTTTTGCTTTTTGGGTCACACCCAGCGATGCACAGGGGTTACTCCTGGTTCTGCACGCAGGAATGATTCCTGGCGGTGCTCGGGGGACCCTGTGGGATGCTGGGAATCGAACCCGGGTCGGTCGGCCACGTGCAAGGCAAACGCCCTACCTGCTGTGTTATCACTTCAGCCTCCCCCCATTTTTTTTTTTTTTAAGAATGCATCTCAGCCCGTTTCATTTATAGGCCCCGCGAATCAGAGACCTTTCACCTGGACTTGCCTTTTCAAGTTTTGCTGAGGCAGCTGCACGTCCCCTGGAGGCCAACAGGGGGCAGCACGAGGAACAACGCTTCCTCGTTAATCTTTCATGTGCTGGGGGAGGGGATCCTGGGAGCTGGCAATGTTTTTTCTCCAGGCTTCAGAGGCCCCTGGTCGAGATCAAAGCCTGGCTGCAGCAGGCTATTGGCTGGTTCGGTGTTGTTTCAGCTCCCTTGAAGAGTCCGCTCTGGTTTTCTTGATAATAAAAACATACCCGGACTCTGAGCCACCGACCTCCCACGCACAAGTCCCCCCCCCTGCATTTCCAGGCACCTCCGTTAGCGTTTGAGGTGAAGTTCTGTTATACACTCAGGCTGTGGGTCTCTGAAAGTCAGTGCATCACAGAACTTTGTCTCGAAAGCTTCCCAGCAGCTACTCATTCGGGAGTGGGAGGGAAGAATATTTATTTATTTATTTATTTATTTATTTTGGGTCACACCTGGCAATGCTCAGGGGTTCCTCCTGGCTTTGCACTCAGGAATGACTCCTGGCGGTGCTCAGGGGACCCTGTGGGTTGCTGGGAATCAGACCCTGGTGGGTAAACGCCCTACCCGCTGTGCTCTCTCTCCAGCCCTGAACCGGCTTTTTAAACCTAAAGCTTGTAGGGTCTTTCTCCATAATTGGCATTTAATGTATTACTAGGTCAAGCCTAGTCCGTTGTCCAGGAAACCCACTTCTCAGTAGTCGGGAGTTATTTATAAACTTGCCCTTTACAAAAACTCAGAAATGAAATTACATTATCAGTAATGGCTTCTGGGGCCTTTAAACGGGCTGATTTTATGGTGTGAGAGCAGCTCCTGGCCCTCCCCGCTCCTGAGAGGTCCGGCCCGGGCTGCCGTGGGCCCAGCTCCAGTTAGGAGGTGGCAGAATGGCAGAAGTAAAGAGGAAGCCGCTGGCCCAGCCGGACTGCTTGGCGCCTTCCAGCAGCCTGTACGCCTTGCCCAGACCCTCAGCCTTCGCTGATTCCTTTGGAAGGCTGCATCGGCCAGCCTGTTCACCAGCCTTCTAGAACTTTGCAATGGTCTCTTCCTTTTTTTTTCCCTTTTTGCGTCACACCTGGCTTTGCATTCAGGAATTACTCCTGGCAGTGCTGGGGGGGTGGGGGGGATATGGGTGCTGGGAATTGAACCCGGGTTGGCCATGAGCAAGACAAACACCCTACCCGCTGAACTATCACTCCATCCCCAGATCTGGGCCTCTTCTTAATCTCCCTCTCTCTCTCTCTCTCTCTGGCTCACACCCATTAGTGCTCAGGTCTCACTCGGGGTACCATGGAGTGCCACGGATCACACCCCGGGTCAGCCGCGTGCAAGGCAAGTGCCCTGCCCGCTGTACTGTATCTCTGACCCTTCTCCTTGCCTTCTTTTCTGACTTTCATCCTTTCTAGGAAAAGCCAGTGTTTCTCTTCTTGGGGTTTCCTTGATAACATCCTCTAGGAAGTCAGTGAAAAAATCCAGGAGCAGAACCAGGACCCCTGGCTCTCTTGCTCTGCTCTCTCAGGTTCTCACATTCGTTCTCTCGGCTGCCAAGGACACTGTCGGGCTCCCGGTTCAGTGATCTTCAGCCCCCAGTCCACAGGTGTCAGAAGGCTGAGAAATCCCACTCTTGTGGCTTGGTCATAACTGTGGGTGTAATGGGCTGGTTTGCAGAACGGGGGTCAGTCCGCAGGTGTCAAGGGCTTGAAGACCGTTGTCCTGGAGCGCTTGTGGCCGTAGGGTTATTCTTCCTCGTGACGCCAGACACACTCTGTGTTACCAGTGCCATCACAGTGCCTGGTTCCAGAGGAGATAGTACAGACGGTGGACACTTGCCTTGCACGCGTCTGACCCGGATTTGATCTCGGCATTCTCTGTGTCCCCCCGAGCATCTTCAGGAGTGGTTCCCGAGTGTAGGGCCAAATAGTAAGCTCCGAGCCATGCCGGGTGTGGCCCAGAAAGTAGACAGAACCCCCAGAGCCCAACTGCCTGACTCCTTAGCCTCCCCTCCTTCTCTGGCGTTACCGGAATCACGCCCGGGACCTCCCGCATCGAAGGCACGTGCTCTGTCGCAGATGGTCCCTGGCCCCCTTCTCCTTCCTGAGTCTCTTGAGTCCCAGTGGGCCCCTCACATGGAACAGAACCCTCTGGCGCCTCCCGGGACAGTTGGCAGTCACAGAGGCTGCAGTTTCTGCGTTTGGCACCGGTTCTTTCCTCCGCTCTCTTGGGTCTTGGAGAATGAATTTGACCCCGTGAGGGCTGTGGGTTTCCGATGGAAGGCCAGGAGGGAGTGGCAAAGCGACAGCCTTGACTCCTAGCTGATCAGACAACCCAGAGGGTGGGTACAGCAGGCAGGGCACTTGCCTTGCGTGGGACCAGCTCGGATTCCACCCCTCGCACCCCACATGGGCCCCCAGCTCCACCGGGAGTGAGCCCTGAGCACAAAAAGTCAAGGTGAGCTGCTTCCCTAGGAACTGCAGGAGGAGAAGAGCTTTTCTAAATGATGTGCCTTGCAGTTAGTTTGAGTTTGAGTATAACCGCTAAGGCTGAGACTGATTTGTCCAAGCGTATTTTTTTTTGGTTATTAATTTTCTGTGGTGTTGGGGATTGAGCCAACAGACTCAGACATTTGAGGCTCTACCACTGAGCCACGTCCCTGGCCCCCAAGTTCACGTCTCTTTTGGAGGGCGGTCACACCCAGTGATGCACAGGGGTTCCTCCTGGCTCTGCACTCAGGAATTAATTACCCCTGGCGGTGCCCAGGGCACCCTATGGAATGCTGGGAATCAAACCCGGGTTGGCTTTGTGCAAGGCAAACGCCCTGCCCGCTGTACTGTCGCTCCAGCCCCCCAAGTTCAGTCCTTGACCGGGACAGAAATCCCCTCTCAGCCTCAGGCCCCGTCGTGTCCTTTTCTCGCCTCTTTTTCACTCCCCAACGTGGAGGTTTTTGTCCTTTCAGCCTGACTAGTGGTGGTCACCTGGAGGCAGTAGAAAAATCAAAAAGAATTGGGATCTTGGATCAAAACTGGGGAGATGAGTGATGTTTCACTCAGTGGCCACATTGTGTGTGTGTGTGTCTGTGTGTGTGTGTGTGTGTGTGTGTGTGTGTGTGTGTGTTTCTGCGTTGCTCCCACATCCACTAGGGCATTCAGCCGTCCAGTTTCCGATGGCCTCGTGTAGCGCCTGTTAATTAACCTGGTCACACTCACCTGTGCATGGGAGTCCAGCGAGGCGGGGGGATTTGGGACAGAACCGTAGCATAGTATCTGGAGATGCCAGCGTGACCTACCTCGGTTAGACCCTCTGCGCTCCGATCGGGGGCGTAGTCTCTCTGGAGCTTCTGGTGGCTGAAGCGCCTCCACCCCCGATTCAGTTCCTTCCCGGCCTGCTCGTCCTCCGGGGACAGTGTCACGGGCTCGCCAGCTTGGGACTGGGAACACCCGGACTCACGTCTGTGCCCCTTCGCGGTCAGACTCGGGGGAGGTCGAAGGTTTGCGGGGGTGGAGGCACCCTCCGGCCTGAGTGTCTGTTCCTGTCTCCATAGGAACCCTCCCTGTACACTGTCAAAGCCATCCTGATCCTGGACAACGACGGAGACCGGCTCTTTGCCAAGGTGAGACTCCCTCTCCGTTTGTGTCGCAGCAGGACTCTGAGCTTCGAGCCGCGGGACCTGGTCCTCTTCCCTCGTCTCTCTCCGGACTCCAGTTCTGAGAATCCCTCCTCCCTCCTGTCCCGGACTCTCCCCAGAGGGAAAACACAGAACCCTAACCTGCTGCTGTGTGAGGGACCCTGGCCTCTCCTCGCCTGCCCGGCCTCGTCCTGTTCTGTTATCAGCACCGGAGCGGAAAGGGCTTGGGCCATTTGGCAGCTGGGCAGGGGCGGCAGCTCGTTGCGGCCAGTCCCGGCCCGTGTCCATCGCTCCCGTCCGTTTTCTTTCCCTCCTGCCAACCCCCGCCGGGAGCTTTCTAGGGAATTCTCCGGCGGGGGCAGGCTTCTGGCGCTCAGTCTGCAGTTACCACCACGCATGTTATCTCCGGACTTCCCCCAGCCCTGAGATCTTTCCAACTTTGCGGCTCCTGAGAGAGAGCAGAAAGGACGCGCCTCTCTCCTCCCTCCCAGCTTCCCCCCCGCGGGAGAAATGCTTTCAGTCCCTGGAGTATTTGCTCCGGGTGAGCCTGGCATAAATCAATCAGCAGGTAGAGATTAGTTTAGAATTCACCAGCTGTTCCTCCCTGTAATTGGATGTAACTATGCAGGACACCTTTTGAAACAGTTCTCCAGTTACTAAATGCCAGCCCTGTCGCAGGTCTTCAGCTGACTGCGACGGATTATCCCCCGAAGAGCAGGGCGATCTAGCAGCCCCCTCCCCGCCCCCGGGCCAGGGCGAGCTCGGGAGTGGGCTCGGCGGGCCTCCTGCGTCTTCCCTGCCTTAGAGAGCCTTGCTGCAGGGGGCGTGGGGCGGGGGAGCGGGTGCCCCTCTCTTCGGAGAGACTCGCCGAACCCGGGGCCTCGTGCGGGGAGGCATGTGCCCTGCCGCCGAGCTGCGTTCCGGGGCCCTGGGTCGGCCCTTTCTCGGAGCCAGACTTTGCGGCCTGGCCCCGCTTCTCGGCTCCATCCAGTGGGGAAGAAGGCGGAAGCGGGGTTCCGTGCGCTCGGCGCCTCTCTCTAGCGCAGCCCCTCGGAGAGCTCGAGAACAGGGTCAGGGTTTCTCTCCTGCAGGCAGCTGGGGGCAGAGCCTCCTGGTGAGGGAGGGGACTGAGTCCTCGGAGGGTGGGTAAGGAGCTTGCCGAGCTCCCCAGCACCCCAGAGGATCCGAGCACTGCCAGGACTGAGCCTTGGACGTAACTGAGCTGCCCCAAAAAACAGCCGTACCCCCCCCTTTCACAAAAAAAAAAGTGAAGTGGAAGGACGGAGAGATCGAGTGCCCACCTTGCACGTGGCCGACCCAGGTTCAGTCTCCGGCGCCCCACGTGGTCCCCTGAGCCCGCCAGGAGTAAACCCTGAGCATAGGCAGATGTGGCCCCAATCCGCCCCCCAGAGGAAGAAGGAAAAGAAAAGAAGGTGTAGTTGCTGGGACTGGAGCGACAGCACAGCGGGGGGGCGTTTGCCTTGCACGCCGTCAACCCAGGTTCGATTCCCAGCATCCCATAGGGTCCCCTGAGCACTGCCTGGAGTAATTCCCGAGTGCAAAGCCAGGAAGAACCCCTATGCATTGCCAGGTGTGACCCAAAAAGCAAAAAAAGAAAAGAAAAGAAGGTGTAGTTGCTGGGACAGGAGCGATAGCACAGCGGGGAGGGCGTCTGCCTTGCATGTGGCCGACCGGGGTTTAATTCCCAGCATCCCATAGGGTCCCCTGAGCACCACCAGGAGTAACTCCTGAGTGCAGAGCCAGGAGGAACCCCTGTGCATCGCCGGGTGTGACACAAAAAGGGAAAAAAAAGAGGCTTAGTTGCTGGCCACAGCAGCCTTTAAACATTCTGCTCTGGGCCAAGAGATGGGACAGTGGCTGCGGCGCTGGCCTTGCATGTCGCTGGCCCTGGCTCATCACGTCCGGTTCCCCAGCGCAGCCTCAGGTGACCCTGTTTTGAGCCAGGTGTGGCCCTAACCCCGCAGCCCCCACGGCGCACCCCAGAAGACAAGCGTCCTCGTTTCGTGTTTGCTCACTCACGCCCCGTCCCGGCCTCTGCGGCGCTTCCTTTGCTCGTGTCAGTGTGTCTCTCCCGCCTCGGGCGTTGAAGGAGAGAGACCCAGGAGCCGGGGCGGTCACTCACGGTCCCGGCTCCCGGCCCTCACGCCCGCCCCTCCTCTCCCCCGACCAGTACTACGACGAGACCTACCCCAGCGTCAAGGAGCAAAAGGCCTTTGAGAAGAACATTTTCAACAAGACCCACCGCACCGACAGTAGGCTGTTTTCCCTTCACCGCGGCGCGTGGCGTGGGGGGGAGGGCGGTGGCAGGCTCAGGTGACGGTCCCTTTCCCCTCTCCGCCCTCCTCCCCTCGTATAATAAACTCTTCGGAAATGTAGTGGGGAGGAGAGTGTGCCTCACGCGGGAATACGTGCTGGCAGGTTGGCTGTTAGCTGCCTGTCTGGTCCCTGGATTTACGAGCCTCCCTTGACAAATTTAACTGCAGCGCTGCTTATTGTACCGCATCCATTAGGGCAGGTAAATGGAAGCGTGGAAAGGTGACCGCTCTGCGTTTTCACCTCCGAAGGATCGGCTGGTAGCCGTCGGGGACGGGGAGGGGTAAGGGCTGCGGGGGGAGGGGGTCCGTGGGGAAGACACGTGTCGATGCCCCCCGCCCCCGCCGAGTCGCTCGTTTGTCTCCCTTGGGCAGGTCGGCTTCAGTCTTTGGGGAACGTGCCACCCCGCCTTCCTTCTGCCCCAAGCAGCTGGATTCTGGGAGCTCTTTGGTGACCCTCTGGGCTCCTTGGCTGGGCCACCCACTTTTTCCACTTTGCGCCCTCCAGGTGAGATCGCCCTCCTGGAAGGCATGACGGTGGTCTACAAGAGCAGTATCGATCTCTATTTCTATGTGATCGGCAGCTCCTATGAAAACGAGGTGAGACTTCCTCTCTTCCTGCACTCTCTGGCCCTGGCGCCCCACGGCACGGGCCCTGCTTCTGGACCCGACACTTGTCACTGTCCTCCTCAGGCTGGAGGAGGGAGGCCCCTGCAGGCTCACGGCCCGACCTGGCAGATGAGCCGGTCGACGGTGGGAGTCCTGGGTCTGCCTTTCCCTTTTTTTTTTTTGCTTTTTGGGTCACACCTGGCGATGCACAGGAGTCACTGCTGGCTTTGCAGGAATGACTCCTGGCGGTGCTCAGGGGACCCTATGGGATGCTGGGAATCGAACCCGGGTCGGCCGCGTGCAAGGCAAACACCTTCCCCGCTGTGCTCTTGCTCCAGCCCCAGGTCTGCCTTTACTTTTATCTCGTGTCATAGGCGCGTTATATGTCTTACTACTTACTGACAGACAACATCAGCGGCCTAGCTCGTTTCTTTATTTCTTTGGTTCTGGGACTCAAACCCAGCACCTCACCCATGCAAAGCTCGTGCTCTGGACTTCTGCGGTGTGGTCGGGGCGGGAGGGACTCTTGCCCCTCCTGGGAAGGCTTCACACTTTTTTTGGGAAGACGAGCTAACATCCTGGGTCAGGCGGAAACCAAATTCTGAGTGGTTCACTCGAGAAAACGAGGGTTAGTCCCAACCTGCTTTCTGTTTACGGGAGAGACCGCCTCAGCTGAAAGCTCCTAATGAGAGGAAGGAATTATAAAGAAGGGGCTGGAGCGATAGCACAGCGGGGAGGGCGTTCGCCTTGCAGGTGGCCGACCCGGGTTCGATTCCCAGCATCCCATAGGGTCCCTCGAGCACCGCCAGGAGTCATTCCTGAGTGCAGAGCCAGGAGGAACCCCTGTGCATCGCCGGCTGTGACTCAAAAAGAAAAAAAAAAGAAGTGTAAAGAAGCCCGCACATAATCGGAGGCAGAAGTCACTCTTCCTGGGCTCCGGTTTCTGTAAGGGATTTGTAGAGCACTTGCTTTGGAAACCTTACAGCCCTCACATGAGTCGTAGACAAGCGGCTTTGCCTTACGGGGGAGAAACCGAACCAGGAGCCGCCGTGTGGACTTCCACCTGAGCACCGGTGGGCTGTCGGGGGGGAGATGTTGTGCCGCCTGACCCGACAGCTTGCCGAGGACGGCCCCTCTGAGAATCGCTTAGCTGTGCCTCCAGTCCAGGTCAGCCCCACCCCGGGGCCCTGTGCTCTTTCCTCTTTCCGTCACCGCCCGGACTCGGTGCCCAGTTAACGATCTCCCTGCCCCAGACCTCGGCCAACACTTACTACCGCAGGTAAAGACATGGAGGACCAGGGCAGGAAAGTTTTGTTGGAAGAGTCGGATCAAGGAGAGCCCTCATACTTGGGGTCATGCCGCAGGATCTAAACCACACGGGTTCTCTTCTTGTTTGTGCTCACTTTGACCTTGATCACTTGATCACTTGACTTCCCTTTCATCGTCGATTTCTCGAGCGGGCGCCAGTAACGTCTCCATTTGTCCCTGTCGCGTGCTCGTGTGGCCCAATGGCGTCTGTTCAGTTTGACCTTATGGTTTTGGTTTTGGTTCTTTATGACAGGCCCTGTCTTGTGTGTGTGTGTGTGTGTGTGTGTGTGTGTGTGTGTGTCCTTTCTAAGCCCGTGTCTTTGGAACTTCATGAATCACAGGGTTTTGTTTCCAGGTCGCTGCTTTCAGAGCCTGGAACCTCATCCTGCTTTTTCTGTCTCCTCACAGCTGATGCTCATGGCCGTCCTGAACTGCCTCTTTGACTCACTGAGCCAGATGCTGCGGTGAGCAGTCCCTTTCCGACGCCTGTTTGCGGGAGACAGTCACTGCTCTTCAGGGCCAGGGACGGGGCAGGGATCAGTCGAGGCTCCAGGGACCCAGCTTCACCTGGGAAGTGGCGGGGGGGTGGGGGTCAGATCACAGTCCCCTGCCCTGCTGCCGGGTGTCCGGCTCCCCGTCTCCCGTCCCGCCCCCGGAACAGCTCTCGTAGGAGGGCGGTTGGGAGGTGCAGATCTCTGTGCAGACCCTCTCCCGTCCCCGGGCAACCCTTGCCTGAGCTCCGAGCACTCTGCCGGCACTTGTTCGTTCTTTGAGAGGCAGCAGACGGCAGGTCCCAGGCGGAACAGCCGTCGAGCGGGCCCGGGCCCTCAGCGCGGAGCTGGGAGACGCTGCCCCCTCTCTCCCCTCCCGCCTCCCTGATGGGCTGATGGGCAGGGGAGGGGAGCCGAGGCCCCTTTCCTGAGCGAGCGCGGGCAGGGCCCGGCTGCATTCCGGCAGCTCCCGAGTGAGCGCGGCCCAGACAGCCGTCCGGAGGCGCCGAGCCGCGGGCCCCAGCCCCACGCAGGCAGCAGGCGGGCGGGCGAGCGGCTCCGGTTTCCTCAGGAAGGAGGTGATTTATCTCCGAGCCAGGCGAATGAATGGGCTTCGTTTCTGCGATCTGGCGAAGGAGCCAAACTGACGGATGCGAGTGGCCACATGCGCCAACCACCGGATCCGAGGCCGGGTGGCGCGGGCCCTGACCTCCCCCGCCCGGCCCGGTCCGCTTCTCAAGACCAGAGCCGAGCTGGTGAAGGGGTGGGGGTGGGCGGAGGCGCAGAGCCGGCCTCGAAGGTCCGTCCAGGCTTGTGCGCAGGGCGCGTGTGTGCTCTCCCCTCCCCTGCGACGGCTCCAGCGCCGTTTACGTCTCTTTCCTGCACGCTCAGGTCGGGGTTGCTGAGCTTTGGCTCGGGCCCCCACCCCCACCCCCAGAGAGGGAGAAACAGAGCTGAGTAGTCCGAGGTTGCCTAGGGCGGCTGTCGTTTGGACCGATGCTTCCTTGCTCTTCCCGAGCCGCCCACTGCACGCAGGGGTGGGATGGGGGTCTAGAGGCACCGGCTGCAAACATCTCCTCCGCCACAGTTACTTCCCTGTCTGTGTCCTTGGGGAGATGGTCGCAGGTCTGGTCTAGCCGCCCGGGCTCAGACGATGTCCGCAGATTCCTCTCACACGCCGGGTTTTTTTCCTTTTCTCTTGGGGACTCAGGAAAAATGTAGAAAAGCGAGCTCTGCTGGAGAACATGGAGGGGCTCTTCTTGGCTGTGGATGAGATCGTGGACGGAGGGTGAGTCCTTGGAGTGGCCTGGACTTCCCTGAGCCTGCGCGGGGGTCTGGGGCACCGCCCTCTGTTCTGAGGCAAGTGTGCTGAGTGGTCAGTGTCCCTCCCGTCTTTGTCTCTGTAGGGTGATCCTCGAGAGTGACCCCCAGCAGGTGGTGCACCGGGTCGCGTTAAGGGTAAGCACACTGTGCCCCTCCCAGCCCGGTCCCCGTCCACCCACGCAGTGACCGCATCCAAGTGTCCCTGCCCGAAGCACGGGCACCGCCTTCTCCCCCTGCCAAGCCCTCGTTGCCCCGGAGAAGGGAGGCGGAGGGCCCGGGCTCTGCCTCTGACCAGCGCTGGCTGGTCCCCGCTGGGCCAGGGCGCACGGGAGTGTCCCTCGATGCCCCAGAACTGGAGCTTCCCGTGTCCTTCCTTTGGGGAACGGGCCCCAGCGGCCTGGCACAGGTTCTTGCTCGTCTTTGCGCGTCTTTCCTAAGAATCTCAGGGCTGGAGAGCTGGCCCGGCAGGTCAGGCACCGGCTCCCCTCGCCTGAGACTAAACCGGGTTCCCATCCCCGGCGTCCCACATGCCCACAGGGCCCCCGAGCCCCACCAGGGGTGATTCCTGAGCGCACAGCCAGGAGGAAGCCCGCGTGGCCCACAAATGGGAGGGAAGTCCTTGCTGGACGGACTCTGGTCCCTCTTGGGTGCTCGTGGCAGCAGAGAGGTTCCTCCGAGTCTGCGGGGGAGGTGAGGGGTGCAGAGCGCACCTGCCCCGAGTGCCGGGCCCCGAGATGTGCGAGCACTCGGAGACTGTCCTGGCCGTGACCTCCACGGCGAAGACCGGCAGTGCCGGTAATGGGAAATCTTCTCCCTGAACTGCCTGGGGCTCCATTTGCATAGTTTAATCTTCTCCCCCAACATATGTCTCTGCGTGCGAGTGAGAGGCTTCCCCGCCGCACCCCCGGCCCCTCCTCCGCCCTCGCAGGCTGCTGTTGCAGCATTTATTTCTTCGAATTAACATGCTGTCGTTACCCATCGGGCCTTGCGGGATCCATTAAGCGACCCCCGGCTCCCGCATCCTTCCCCTCCTGATATTGATATTCAGGGAAGGTCTTCTCCGGCGAGGGCCAGGGAATCGGGGCCCCTGCGCCCAGGCTGGGGATCTGGGGACCTGCTGAAGACCTGGAATGGAACTAAGGGCTTGGGAGGTTCTCCTGCCATCCCAGAGGAAATGGATGAAGTGACCCTCCCCTCCCCGCGCCCCCGCCCCCAGTCACAGTCCCTCTGGCCAGCTGAAGTGGTGGCTGTCATGGTCCCCAGAAGGGACCGAGGAGTGGAGAGCCCCTGCCCCGGCTTCAGTTTCCAGGGCCACTCCTGCCTTCCCGTTTCTGTGCCCACGTGCGAGTCGCGTGCCCACGCTGAGTGCTTGTCTCTCGGTACCCCAGGGTGAAGACGTGCCCCTCACGGAGCAGACGGTGTCTCAGGTATGGCTCACGGCAGCGGCTGGCTGGCTCTCCACCCCGGGCTCCCTCTCACTCCAGAGACCCGGCCCCTTCCTCCTCAGTGCTCCCTAACGTGCCCCCTCCTCCCGTCTCTCTCCGAGTGCGGCTGGTACCCTTCAAACCCTCCCTGCCTGCCCGGTGCCTCCTGGCGTGATTTATTCCCCAGCAGAGGCTGCCTTAAGCAGATGGTCTGTATGCCGCACACTCTCTTTCCCTTATTATTCAAATGAGGACGGAGCTGGCAATGCATATTCCAGGAGAGGCGCTTGCGCTGCTCCTTCCTGCTACGCTGCAGATAGATGGTCTTCCCGGTGCGGGGCGGGGGCGGGGCGGGACGGGCTGTTTCCTACCCGGCTGGAATCACCAACAAGCCTACCTGCCTGTGTACTCCTCCTCTTTCAAACATCTGCCCGGTGACCCCGGTCTTGTCTGGTTTTGGGTTTTTTTCTCTTCTTTCTTCCTGGGTATGTCTCTTCCCTTTTTGTCCGGGGGAATTTCCCAAACTGAAGGTCCCCTCGGGGTAGGGGGTCCCTTCCCCTCCCTCTGCCCCGGGGGCTTTTCTCTTTGCCTTTCCCCCCCAGGCGGGGTGCAGGATGGGGAGCCGGATCCAGCCGGATCCAGCCGGTGGCCCGGGCCTCCTTCAGGCCCTCACGCAGTTCTTCCCCGCAGGTGCTGCAGTCAGCTAAAGAACAGATCAAGTGGTCGCTCCTGCGGTGAAGACGCCCCAAGTCTGGCTCCCAGCACCCTCCCAGCACTCCACACTTCTGCTGCGACTTCTCGTCCAAGTCCAGACCCCCAGCCGATGCTCTCTGGGCCGTCTTGGGGAACAGAGGGACCCTTGACCCCCCGTCCCACTGGGTGGTGGTTCGCCCCTCCAACTCCTGTTCCTCCCTCTGTGTGTGCTGTTCGGGGGTCAAGGCCCCGCGGAGCTGGCCGCGCACCCTCTCCTCCTCTAGATGGATTCTGCTCCCAAGCTCTCCTGCACCCACACCGCCGCCCCCCCCCCCCCAAAAAACCCTACTCCTCAACTTCTGTGCCCTTTGTTGCAGCTACACTTCAGATCAAAGCGAGAGAAAGAATGTGCTGAGTGTTTTCCTCCCTCTGCCCTTGCCGGCCTTCGCCCTTGCCGGCCTTCGCCCAGGCCGCCCATCTGTCTGTCCAGCCCAGGGAGAGAGAATTCCTCTCTGGCGAGTGGGGGCCAGTGGGGGTGGGGACCTCATTGCAGCCCACTTAACTGGCCTCATTATTTTCGCCCGCGCCTTCGTGCTGCGGAACGGCTGAGGCGGATAGGCAGGGCCAGAGCGGAGGGAGCAGTGATTTCAGTTGGACTGGAGAGGCCTCGTGCAAACTCCGGGTTCCGGGCGCAGACGCGTTCCCTGCCCTGCTCCCGGCTCAGAGCTTCGGTGCTGCTGTGGTCTGGGAGTTGGCGGCGGCGGGAGCGGCCGCTCCTTCTGGGCCATCTCCTCTCCCACCTCTGCGGCCAGGCGGCAGCTTCGCCTGACTCGTGCTCTGTGCCCTGGAGCCGCCTCAGTCCCCCTGCACTGAAGCTCCACTCTAGGCTCGGGCAGAAGAGTTTCTGCCCAGAACGGAGGGAGAGACTGAAATTTATGACTTGGGCCTCTGCGCGCCCTCAGGCCTGCGTTCCCTCCTCTGCCTGGGGCCTGCGGGCGCTGCTGCCGCCGAAAGGTGTCTCCAGGCTGCCTCAGCCTCACATCTGGGCCCGGCATGCCAGGTTGCTGGGATAAGGTGCCTTTCTGTCCAAAACCCCGGCACTGGTATTTCCCCAAGAAGCAGGAGAATGGAGCTCTCTCTCTGGGCTCTGAGCTTTCCCCCCGACTCAAAACTTCACACACACCGGGGCGGGAGCGATAGCACAGCGGGCAGGGCGTCTGCCTTGCACACGCCCGACCTGGGTTCGATTCCCAGCATCCCATAGGGTCCTCTGAGCACTGCCAGGAGGAATTCCTGAGTGCATGAGCCAGGAGGAACCCTGTGCGTCGCGGGGTGTGACCCAAAAAGCAAACACACACACACACACACTCTTCCCTGCGTTCTGCCCCACCCACGTCCTGCCGGTCCTTCGTGACTGAAGTGGGGGGAGGAGTGGGCAATTTGAGGAGGCCTTTTTGTGCAAAGGAAGCGTGGAGTCAGGAGACCCCCCTTGACGTGCTGCCCCGTGCAAAGAGGAATAAAAGGGTTCCTTTTCCAAACTGCCTTTGTGTGATGTTTCTGTTCCTCTTCCTCTCTGGTTTTGGCAAGCTGCTCCTAATTCCTCTAGCCCCCCCACCTCCCACTCCCCATCTTATAATATTTCTTCCCTCCTACCTCAGAGACCCCCCAGCACCCCCAACACGCCCCTAATTTACGGGGCCGCTTGCCTCCTTGGCATCTCTCCGTCCCCTCGCCTGGAAATTGGCGCCAGGGGTACAACAGGGACGCTGTCTGCTCGGTGGGGGTCCCGGGAACCGAGTTCTTCCCCCACCCCCTCCAGCCCCCCCCAGCCAGCTGCCGGCTCCCCCCGCCGCCGGGAACCCAGAGCCGCGCGCGCACCTGCGCGGGGACTCGCGGCCCCTGCCCGCACCTCCCGCCCCGGCTCCGAAGCGGCGCTGAGCGGTTATTTATCGGAGCCGGTGCCGCTCCAGAAGGTCAGGGCGGCGGTGTAAATAACCTCCTCCCGTTTCCCGAACCCCCAGAGCCCGCGCCCCCCCCCCCCCACCTTGATTCGCGCAAATGGATGTGGCTGGGCTGGCGCCGCGCCTGGCCCTGCATCCTGATGGGGCGGGAGCGCGCGGGATGCTGGATTGAGCGGGTGGACGGTTGCCCGGCGACTGGAGGATGCGCGCGTTTCCTTCCCGCCTCCTCTGCAGGATGGGGGGGGGGGAATGCTCTGCAGTGCGGTGCGCGGGCGGGGGGCGCCTCGGTCACCTCTAGGGCTCCTGCTGCGGGCCGAGGGTGGGCGAGGAGACGCCAGCCTGGAGCTGTCCAGTCTCTCCTGCTCTCCCGGAGGACCCCCCCCCCCCCCCCCCCCCCCCCCCCGTCCAGCTCATCGACTGTGGCACTGGGGGCCTGGGAGCCCCCCAGCAGAGCGCCTGGGTGGGAGCGCGTCGCCCTCCCGCTGGGGGCTGCAGGAGGCCTGCCTGGGTGCAACAGTGTCCCACGGGTGGGTGTGATCTTCCTCCTGGGAGCCCGCGGGGACCCTGGGGCGTAGGGGCCAAGGTGAAGTCTGGGGGAACCGGAGCAGAGAATGGCGCTCTCTGGGCTTTTTGGGTCCCACCCGGCGATGCACAGGGGTTCCTCCTGGCTCGGTGCTCGGGGGACCCTATGGGATGCTGGGAATCGAACCCAGGTCGGCCGCGGGCAAGGCCAACGCCCTCCCCGCTATCTCGGCCAGGCCCTGCGCTCTCAAATTTGAGTCAGTTCTCAACCCTGAGATTCCCCCAGCTTGTCTGCCCAGCCCGGTCTGGTTTGAACTTTTCCTGTCTTCCCGGCATCCCCCTCGAAGCTGAAATTCGCGGCCTCCTCGCACCGAGCCAGCCCACTGCCATGGCAGGTCTCCTCCAGGACTCAGCAGACCCCCAGGTGTGCGCACCTCCCTCCCGGTCCGGCTCTGGCTGGGGCCTCTGGCTCTGTCCCTGAGTCTCCCCCTCCCGAAAGGGACTCTGGGAAGCCCCTCCCTCCCTCCTCCCGGCCGCTGCCCCTCCTCCCCGCTGGCTGGGAAAGTGGCTGCAGCCTGCACAGAGCCAGACACCTGCCTGCCAGATGTGGCAATTCCCCGCCGTCCTCTCCCCCTCCCCAAATGTCTCTCCTCCCCCACCCCACTGAGCTCAGGCTGAGCCAGCCTCCCACCGAGTGATTTAGGGCCCGTCCTCTTCCTCAAGTGCCCCCACCCCTTCCCTTCCCCTGCTGCTCATGCTCCCTTCGTTTCCTGCATGTCCGGCAGGAGGCCCCCCTCGGCCAGCCTCCCCCCGACTCCCACCCTGGAGTGCTGCTGGTGTCAGTTCCAGCCCCTCGCCTGGAGAAGGGGGGTGGGGGGGCGGCAGGACAGACACGCTTGGCCTGGGTTTCACCCAGGGGAGAGTCCATCTTCTACGGGGCTGAGAACAGAGGCCCCAGAGCTGATGCTGTTCGGCAGGAAGGAGGGGAGAGGGGTGGAGGGAAGCATCGGGCCAAGGCTGCTTGCAGGGGAGGTAGGGGTGTGGGGGCCTCGGTGGGCTTGCCCGGGGCCCGGGGCCCTGCGTCTTTGTCTGCCTGGCCTTTGGTGCGTGTCTCTGGATCGGGGCCCCTCTCCAGATGACTGACTAACCAGATGCCCTTGCAGTTCTCCAGACCGACTCCAAACACACACTTGGAGCCGCTTCCGTCAAGCTGTGCCCTTCTGGGCTGTGCTCGTCCTTCCGTGCCTTGGTCTCCCACTTCCCTCCCGCTGGCTCCTCGCTTAGCTGCGCCCGCCCGCCTGCCCACCTGCCGGGGGCCCCTGGCTGCTTCCTCTTTGCCTTTCTGGGTCCCAACAACAGCACAGGATGCTAGACCCCCCCACACACCCAAGCTGGCTGCCTTCATTCTGTCTCCTTCCTCCTTCCCGGCTCTCTGCAGCCTGACTCTCCCTCAGCCCCCGCCCTGGGCCTCGTCCGGACAGACGGACAGTGCGAAAAAGTCAATCTTGTATGTGTGTGTGTGTGTGTGTGTGTGTGTGTGTGTATGTGCCTTAGTACTTGTGTGCACGGCACATGTGTCCAGAGGTCTGCGGGAACTCAGGGTGGTGGGGACCATGCGGTAACCCTCAGCCACCCCCATTTCCCAGTGTTCGCGACGCCAGGGTGGTGGGCGGGGGGTGCGTTCCCAGGGCATTGCTACCTCCAGGCCTGTTGGAATGTGAAATTGGGATCTGGAGAATGAGGAACCCAGTCCCGGTGGGCCTCGGCCCCCTCCCCGTGCCTGCTGCTGGCAGCTGCTCCCGTCCCTCTTCCCCTCCCACTCTCCTGGTATCCTCCTTCCTCCTCCTCCCCCTCCTCCTCCTCCTCCTCCTCTCCCTCCTCCTCCTCCTCCTCCATGCTGACCCCTCCTTCAGTCTCTGACCCCCAGCCGCCTGGGGCCTGGGTTGGAGGAGAGACAAAGGCAGGATTTATCACCAGGCTAGAGAAACAGCCAGAGACCAGGGCTGAGGGCAACGGGCTGACCTCCCCGGGATGAGAGGGAATGTTTGGCCAGATGCGGAGGCTGCCACTTCTTCGGCTTTGCTCTCTCTCCCCGTACCTGAAGACTTGGTGAAAGGGGCCCCAGGTGATTTTCCATCTCTGCAGCCAAGGCTTGGAGGAGGGGAGAGTTGAGATGAATGTCTTTGGGTCGTTCACTTAAGAGCACAGACAGGTACTGGGGGCTGGAGCGCTAGCACAGCAGGGAGGGCATTTGCCTTGCACATGGCCGACCCGGGTTCGATTCCCAGCATCCCATAGGGTCCCCAAGCACCACCAGGAGTAACTCCTGAGTGCAGAGCCAGGACTAACCCCTGTGTATCGCTGGGTGTGACCCAAAAAGCCAAAAAAAAGAGTACAGGTACTGGGACCTGGAGCGATAGCAGAGAGGGCAGGGCTCTCGCTTTGTAAGGCCCGTGACCTGTGGCATCCCCTGAGCACCGCAGGAGTGATTCCTGAGTGCAGAGCCAGGAGTAACCCCTGAGCATCGCCAGGTATGGCTCCAAAATAAAAAATAATAATAATAATAATAAAATAAAACAGAAACCCGAGTCTTGGAGGTCCCAGGTGTTTCCGTGACCAGAGAGGAGGTCAGGTGTAGACACCACAGAACTGGACTTCCTCCCAAATCGAGGACGCTCAAGGACAGGCCCTGAGTCCCTCAGAGGGCAGGGAAGGAGGGAAACGGGGAATTGCCCAATGGTCACCAAGTCCAGCCCCTTGGGAGGATCTGAGGCCCCCAACTGCCTCCCGCCAGGGCTGAAGAGTCTCAGGCTCTGCCTTCGAGTGAAACAGAGGCTTGGCTGCGACAGGGAGGCTGTACTCCAGGCAGACTGTGTGCTCAGGGAGAGGGCATGGTAAGGTCCAGGAGTTTCCGAGAAACCGGACCATCTCTCTTCGGGCGGACAGCTCCGCCGCTTCCCCCTGGAATCTCCACTGTGCTGGGCCGGAGAGAGAATGAACACAGCCTTGGCACTTGCCTTGCACAAGGCCGACCTGGTTCCACCCCGGCATGGCACACAGTGTGTGTCCACCCCCGCTCCCCTCCCCGCCTCCCCCAGCACCCCGAACATCTCTGGTGTGGCCCCAAACCAAACCAAACAGCATCTGTGGTCTTCCCAGAGGCCCCGCAAACCCAGCTCTGAAGTTGGCGGCCCCAACTGCCCTCCTAGCTCCAGACACCCCGCAATCAGCTTCCTGGTCGGACAGTCCTAGGGGCAGGCCGCGTCGCAGACTCGCCTCCAAGAGGGAAGAGGGTGGAGGAAGGAGACCAGAACCGCTGAGCTGGGACCCCCAGTCTGGCCGGTCTGGCCCTAGTCCCCCTCTGGTGGGGGAGGCCAGTGGCTTCCTCTGGCCCCGAAACTGTCCTCGTAGTTCCTAATGGAAAGCCCCAGGTTGGATATTTTCCATGGAAAAGGGTCACGGATTTGGAGGAAAAAGGACAAAAGAAAGAGGCTGGGGGGTGGGGGCGGGGGGAGACAAGGTGAGTGGGGGAAAGGCAGGGAAAGGGAGGGGGAGCATCTCGGGTTTTCCTTCTCTCCCCTCCCCCAATTGGGAAGACAGATTTACAGCCTCGGTCTGGGGGGCGAAAGGAAGACAGATCTGCAGTTCTGCCCTCTGAGTGTCTGGGTACTTAGCTGTGCCTCCCCCATTAGCATCAATCCCCATCCCCTGCCCATCCGTCTTCTGACATCAGCTCCTTCCCTCTCTGTGGCCCAGGCGTTCTGACCCCAAGGGGCTCTTAAAGGGCCAGCCAGGCCCTTCCTTCCCTCCCTTCTCCCCCTCCAGGCGGCACTGTCATGTGTGTGCGTGTGTATGTCCGTGTGTGCATGTGTGTGCGTAAGCACTGTATTTGCGGGTGTATGCTCGAGTGTGTCTGTGTGTTCAAGCACGGTATGCGTGTGTACGCTTGAGTGCTTGTGTGTGTGTGTGTGTGTGTGCACGTGCAGTGTGCCTGGCCCATGCAAGTCACTTCACCGGAGTGGCTAGAAAGCACAGTATGTTTGGTGGGTGGGTGG